CTTACCTGTGGAATTAACACACAAGTCATGGTGGGCAATCAAGCAATGCAACCTCAATTTTGATCAAGCTGGCTTACAAGGGAAACTTCAATTGCAAGAGCTCGAGGAGATTAGGAATGATGCATATGAGAGCGCAAGGATTTATAAGGAAAAGACCAAAGCAACTCATGATCAAGGAATTCTATACAAGAGTTTTCATGAAGGGCAAAAGGTTCTTTTATACTATAGCAAGTTGAAGTTGTTCCCTGGTAAGTTACAATCAAGATGGCGTGGACCTTATGAAGTTGTCAAAGTCTATCCAAGTGGAGCCGTCGACATACGCAAAATTGGTGATTCTGAGATCTACAAAGTTAATGGACAACGCCTCAAACCATTTTTGGACCGAGAGCGAACATGTTGGATCGAGGAAACAAGCTTGGAAGATCCAATTTACCTTCCTTATGAAGAGTAACATGTGGAAAGTCAAGCTAATGACTTTAAACAAGCGCTTATTGGGAGGCAACCCAATTTAATTTGACTAACCTTTAATTTTATGTTTTTGTTCTTTATGTTTTTCGTTTTTGTAGGGTTCTAAGACCTAAGCTCACCGAGGAAGCAAGGGAAGTATATTCAATTTTGATTATGTTTGTAATTTTAATTGAATTTACATTTGTGGATTAAGTAAAAATAGGAATTGGAGATGTATGATTACATGGGGACCCATATGGAATAACTGAGGACCCATGTCAATGCACTATAGACCCATGTCAAAGGGACCACAGCACCAGGCGAGCTGAAGCTCCACTGCCGCTGGGCGCCCAGGCAGATTGCCCAAGCGCCCAGGCGACAGTGCGCCAGGCCCCAGCAGGCCTGATACTCGATTGCCGCTGGGCGCCCAGGCCGCAAGCCTTAGCGCCCATGCCGCATCAAACAGCCCCCAGCCCGCATCCTGGTGGTTTGTCAGCACAAGTCCAATTCCAAATTGGACTAGGATTTTGATCCTAAACCAGCTTAATCCGAATTTTCCCCTTCCCAAATCAGGTTTGGACTATTTTTAGATGTTTCCTAGGTAATTTCCTCTGCTTATTCCCCAAGTCTAGGTTAAATTCTTCTAGAACTAGGATTAATTCACTATATAAAGGGAGTTTCACCCCTTTATTTTCTTCACATCAACATCGCCGATTTCCTCTATTTTTAGATGTTTCCTAGGTAATTTCCTCTCTTCTTTTCTTTTCCTCTACCTTCAGTCTTATGTTGAAATGGCTTGCGTCATGAGCTAAGTGCCGCCGTACACCTATGAAAGTGGAATAATTTTTGCATGTTTAGATTCGTATTAACTTTAGGTTTAGTTTTTAGGATTGGTTAGGTAGTTCCTTATCCCTTGAATTTTGGATAATTCAATTTTAATTGTTATATACATGTTAAGTGATTGGTTTAATTATGAAAGATTGATGCTTAGAATGTTGAGAATGCTTTAATTTTTTATTAAGTTTTATCATGCATTTGATTTCTTAGAATTAATTATAATTTGATATTGTGATATAAGCTTATCTATCCAATGCTTTCATGACTTATTACTTCTAGAACTTGTGTTGATTCTTGATTACAAATATGAAGGAATGTCATGGATATGTCAAGACATAAGTGTGGGGGTAGTAAGGGTAACTACATCTTTGGGAAAGAAGTGTTTTCATGAAGAGAGGAGAAGAGATATTTTTGCTTTAATAAAAAAAATAATAATCCATTGTTGTCACTCTTTTCTTTAACAAAAGGAGTTAGTAACCCTTGGAAAGAGGATAAGAGGCATGGAATTGCGGAAATATTGTCCCTCTTATAAAAATGAGTGTTAGTAACCTCAAAAATAAAGGGAGCTAGTAGCCCCAAACCATGGGCACTTCTAAGGTTAGTAACCTTGATTCTTTAAAGTAAGTTGCCTTTTCTAAACCCATGCTAATCTTTGATTAGTATCCATGATAGTGCTTTTTCTTTGGAAATAGATATATACATAAGCTTATAGTTAGTGATGGTCATGTGAAGAAGAGGATGGTAAGTGAATTGAACTTCTCTTATTATGTTTACTTAAGGATGATGATGCTTGTTATTGCTTGATTTTGAGATTAAGTATTCTCATTATTCTTTGCTCTCTTGACTTTATGGTTAGATTATTTCTTGATATGTATGTGCAATTGAAATTGTTTACCCCTTCTTTTGAGAAAAGTGCACTAGTTTGCTAGGGACTAGCAAAGCTTAAGTGTGGGGGAAATATGATCAGACCAAAATTATGCATCTTTTTATGCTCATTTTCCTATGCTTTTTGGGTACTTTATGCTTTATTACGCCTTATATTTGGTATATTTGTGTTTATAGGTGTTAAAGGGAAGAAAAGTGCGAAATCACCACTTTTGTGCCTTTTTGGAGCCTTTTTGGATGATTATTTACACAAATATTTTCCAAGGACAATTTGGAGGAAGAATGAAGCCAATATGATCGTGATTGAAGAGCTTGAAGAGTCAATTTTAACATCATAAAATTGCTTTTCAAGAGTTTGAAGCAAAGGAGAAAAGTTGAATTTCAAGGCAAGAAAAAATGTCAAGATGTGTCAAAGCACTGGAGTACATGGGTCGCGAGGCAAACCACATGGGACGCCCAGCGCTAGTCGAGACATGCCACCAGCAAGCACATTGGCGCTAGCGACATGGGGGCTGAGAGCAATGCCCTGGGCGCACAAGCCATCCACATGGGCGTCCAGGGGGAGTCGGGGGTCATGCCATGCGCGCATCACCCAGCAGCCATGCGTATCTTCACCTTGAAGCTTCTCCACTTGTTTCCAGATTTGGCGACCTTTCTGTATTTTGGCCATAACTTTTGATCCAGAGCTCCGTTTGAAGCGTATGAGTAGCCGTTGGAAAGCTGACTTCAAGATCTACAACTTTCGTGTTTTGTTCGAAGCCCAGGTTTGCCGTTATTGTGGACAAAAATGCCCCCGAAGTTTCTGCAGTCATGCTGGACCTTTAAAAGCCAAGAATCAGGCCCAAGATGATTTGATAAACCCTAATTCGGTACTAAGAGTTAGTCCAGACCTGGAGGACGACTTTAAACCCAATTGAAGGTGGTTTAATAAGCTTAAATTACTATCTTGTCCTTGGTTAAGTTAGCCCTAAGTCTCTAGTATAAATAGTCACTTTTTTCTCTCTAGAAAAGGAGTTGGCGAATTAGGTTGAAGATTGGAGCAAGGAGCCGCCGGCCATACTCTAGTTTTTTCTATTCCTTTTGATGGCTACTCAATTCATGAGTAGCTAATCTTTTATTTTTCCAATGCAGAATCATATTGATCTCTTGACATTTAATTTATGGGGACACTTTTGTTCTTAATAATTTGATTTCCACTTGAATATGTTTCTTATCTCTATACTTCATTTTATGTATTCATGTCTTGATGGATTTGGAGGTCTACTTATCTTGATAATATGAATGCTATAGTTAGATTCAAGTAGCTTGAGTCAAGCTAAAATTGGTCCAAGTAACAATTGTAATTCTAGGAGTCCTAGGTTCAATGGGTTATCAAACCTTGTTGAAATCTTTAGGCCGAGATGGAAATTGATGTAGGCAAGTTTGGTATTGATTTATCATGCATGTGGATAAGAAAAGCTTAATGCGTGTTCTAAGGTTTGATAGACCCGCAATTAGAACATTTGTGATTAATTGTCAGCGAGATGCCGATTAATCTTTTTAGCATGTTGGAATTAGCATTACTCTGTTCCTATACCAATTATTTAAGTGGAGTTGTTTGAGATATTAGGAAGATTATTTTGTTCTAAGGAAAGTTGAAGCCTACGTCTTAGGATATATACTACTTTAGAATGATTTATGATGCTTAATTGATTGACAATTAATAATCGAATTTATGTTTTGTGTCGATGATCCATGTTAATATGGTCAAGGGTGAAATAGATTCTATATTGGAGGCTTGTTTTACATAGTTAATTACTCAATTTTCTTTGTTCTTAATTTGTTTCGCTAATTTCAATTTAGAATTCTTAAAATCTCATCTTTTAAAATTACTCTTCTTAACATAATTGATTAGTGAAAGAATTATCCTCTCTCCCCGTGGATTTGACCCCTACTTACACTAGCTAGTAGTTATTGGTTTGTGGGGAATTATCTTGTGATTTGATCAACGACCAGTCACTTGTGCTTGCTTCTGAAGTGAGGAATATGTGATAGGCTTCTTACCAACAATCTTTGCCCGAGAATTGGGGCTAGACCTGCACCAAACATCATCACTATGTTTTCATCATCAGCAACATTATAGCCAGGTTCTCTTCCCCTTGAAACCGGTTTGGTTTTCTTTTTTGATACTGACTTTGAAGTTGTAGAGACATTGTTTGTTGTTGTGGCAGTTATAGGTGTTGAGAAGACAGTCGAAGATGTTGCAGCTGTATTGCAAATAACAGATCCAGTTCTTGCGTTTCAAGTAATTGATGCATTTGTGCCAGATGCAAAGATGGAGAGAGTTGTAGATGCATTTCCCTCATTTATAGAAAAAGTTGTTGCACTCTTCCTTTTCTTTGATGGTTCAGCTTGGGTTGATGTAGATATAGCTGCAGTTTGAGTACTGCTTGGTTGTGTTTGTTGCTGCCTAGTCTGATCACATGCTCCTTTTCTTGTGGTGTTGGGTTTGGAACCTGTCAATGGAAAGAAAAACAGAGTTAAAGTATGGAATATTGACTGCTTATGAGAAATGACAAAACTGAGTTCAAAAATGACTTCTCTGCCTTAAAAGGACTACCTCTTTTTTTTTTTTGTGATTTTCTTGATGACAGGGACCACACCTCATTATCAGGCCATTGCTTGAGACTTGACCAGAATTGTCTTTGGACTTATTCTTTGTCTTTTGAGGCTCATCTGGGCCTTTTTTTTTCTAGCTGTTTTGGGCCTTCCAAGTGCTGCTCTAAATTTTGGCGGCCTAACAACTTCTTCATTATATTGGGCCAATCTTTCATACCAGGTACTAGCTATAGAGATTTCTCATATGCACTTAGATAGACATTCTTCCAACTAGAGACATACTCTTCAATATTACCTCTCTTATCCCTAATTGCACATATAACATGAGATGACAACATACCTATTCTCTCCATAGTCTATCTCATAGCCTCATTCTCCATTGTGGAAGACATGACAATGTTGAGCTATACTAGAATTCTTCTCAATGCTGGCCCACACTCGAGGACCTGAATTGCCGAGGACGCAAATTGTCATTGCACTTGCTTGCTTCATGCCTATTCCTTACAAATCTTATCATCATCTCCCTTCTCATGTGCTCAAACAACCCCAAAACTGACAGTTTTCTTGCTTTCAGTAGTGTTTTGTTGAAGGCATCACATAGGTTGTTGTCGACCAACTCAATCATTAACTCTTCCTTATGGAATGTCCTTCACCATTGCTGAACTAGTGCATATCTCTCAATATCTTTTGTTGCTTATTCCCTCTTAGCCCTTACACTATATTTGGATTGAGGGTAGAGGAAGGGAAGGAAAGGAAATGGTAGAAAGTGGGAACCCTTCCCTTGTTTGGATAACATTTTTTAATTAAATGGAAGGAAAGGAAAGGAAATGAGTATCCCTCAATTTCCCTCTTATCTTCAATTTTACAATCCTCCCAAATTGTGGGTTTATGGAGAGAAAGGAAAGGATTAAAACTATTTTAATTTTGAAATTATTATTTTACCCATGTTTTAACTCCAATCTAAATACAAGAAAAAATGTTATATATGTAATTATATATCTATTCCCTCCCTTTACTAAAATTTAACTATCCAAACAAGGAAATGCTTATCACATCCTTTCTTTTACTTTCCCCTCCCTCCCTTTCCTTGCCTTTCCCTTCTCACCTAAATCCAAACATAGTGTTAGTGTCTGCAAATTCTCTTCAAACTCTCTGATTGTTTAAGACTTTGCAATCTTCCAGAAGTGCTCTTTCAGCTCATCTTCCTTATGACCTTTGCCTTGCTAGTTCACATAAACATGCCAAGCACATAACCTGTGCTAAACTTTTAGAGTGAGATCTCTAGTTGCTTTCTGAATGGTCTGCTCATTAGATAAAACATATTTAACCCAAAAGTTTAAATTCTAAACAGGTTGAAAACATAAAAAGAAGAGCAAAAGGAAATACCTTGTGTTGGTCACTTATAAGAGTCCAACCATTTCCATTCGACAAGTGATGTAAGTCTTGGCCAACCAATTCTAAAAACCATTTCCAGCTACTACTATTCTCATCTTCAACCAAAGCCTACGCTACATGAAACACTTTATTGTTTACATACCTTCCAACTTCACATAAAAGCACTCTTTTGGTCACTCTCATATATTCTATTGTAGTTATGAGTCTTGGTGAATTTCCTAACTTGAAAGAACTGCAGCTGTCTATCAAATGCTGCATAAATATACCAAGAACACCCTTCAGCAACACATTTACCTTGAACTGCCATAGGCTTGTTCTTGGTAAATTTTATAGCCCTTCTAGTCTTAATTGCAAGCAAACTAACAACCCTCTTAAACTGTGCAATATTTAGATAAACCATCCCATAATCAATAAATGGGTAAGCAACATTCTCATCATACAAGGGGTACTTCCTTTTTCTCCTTGTTTCTTCAACAACCACCTCTTCAGGATCACTTTCTATCTTTCCAAAGCCTGAACTATCATGATATGAAGACACATCACTATCATAATCAGAATCAGGCTCTTCTACATCTCCATTTTTATCATCAACTTCACCTTGGTCTTCATCTTGTAAACCCAAAGCTTCTTCAGCCGAACCTAAACCCACATCTATATTAATATCAACAAACTCAGCCCCACCCAGATCTCCCAAATCTCGTACTTCATTTGCATTCTCTACGTTCTCTCCATCATCTGCATTAACATCCCCTAAACCCCCATTATCCTCCTGCACATCCTGATTATTATCCCCTAAATCCCCATCATTATGTTCACCATTCTCAGGAGGTCCTTCAATCAAATCAAATGTCTAACAAAAAAGGGAAAAAAACCAAAGCAAATGCAAATTCAGGTTCTTCTACGACATGCTCAACAAACACATCAATATGACCTGAAATCATCATTATCATCAATAAAACCTCCCTCATACCAAAAACTATCACATTCCTCAACAAAAATACCCTCCTAGTGGAACCTCATAATACCAAAATCCATTCTGCAAGATTAATAAACTAACTATTAATGCCTATACTTTGAAACATACACCCTAAACCAAAATCAACTTAATTTTTCTACAGTCAGCAACACAACACACATAACAGACAAGACAATGCCAATAACTTAAAAATATTTGTTTCTAGCTATATTTAATTAACTAAACAGACATTATTAACTCAGAAACAAACAAAAGCACATCAATATCAATAAGATAACAATTCCTAAATATTCATCCAATCGATAAAGCCAAGTACTTTATTTTATACCAACTGAAAAGCATACAATATATATAGATACCAAAAAAGTATACAAAAGCATTACAAAAGCATACATTTTAGCTATACAGAAGAATTAAAAGAAGAAAAACATAAAAAAAAGTTGTAAAAACACAACACTTACCTAATCCAAAATTTACACTTATTGAAGATGTCCATCGTGCAAAAACTACTCTACTTCTTTCAAAACCCAAAACTTCAATCACATCCAGCTTCTTCAACGAGAAACCCTTATAATCGAAAGATACCCCAAATCGTCAGAAACCCTAGAAATCACTTTCACCCAAATCAAATCGAAGCAAAAGCTTCAGTTGCACCAAATCAAGAACCCACAACTTGAATCACACCCTTATCATTTCAAATTAAACCTTCTAATCGAACCAAAGCACAAAAATCACTCGAAATCCTAAATTCTAGAAAACCCCCAAATCTAAATCGAACACCCTAATTCAAAAACACTTCTAACCGAACAAAACCCGACCTTTTTACTTTAATCTAAATGCTCTAAATTGAACAAAATGCTCGCAAATGGCAACTAGAAATTGACTGGAAGCCTAAAGTTTTTGGGTTTTGATCGGTCATCAACGTGTTCACAAAATAATCCCCACAAAACTAACTAAATAGCTAGGGTAAGTAGGTATCGAATCCCACAGAGTAAGGTGAAACGATAATTGAAATAAAACAACTAAATAAACACTAAAGATAAATCTAAGACTAAAGAAATTGGGGATTTAACTAATAAAAAGAAATTAACTAAACTAAACTAAAAAGTAATTCTCCAAATCTATTGAAAACTAGAAAAGAGTTTAGAAAACTATCAATTAAAAAACAATACTTCCTTTCCAATGATAAACAATTAATTAAGAGATATGGATCACAAACACCACATATAAACTTAATATGATAGATTATTAAATTTAGCTAGTATCAGTTTTACGCCACTCTGTTACAAGAGGTAAAACATCAAACAAACTTCATTCAATAACTCTACTTGAATATATTGGTCTAGGTTTTACCCTAACATGCTATTAGTTAACTCAACTTTTCTGGTTAGAGAAAACTCTTTTATTCTAGATTTCTCCCATCGGTTAGTGCGAGATCATCAAAGAATAAAGCATTAAGTTCATTCGGTGCTCACAAGCATAATTAATTATAACCAAACCTATTCTCATCTATAGCTTTTTTGGCATCTAGATTTCAATAAGCTTAAGAATCCCATCATGCCCATGGTCCGTGAAGTACAATTTGCTACCCAATAATTAAATCTGACTTTTCTGGTACAAGATTTAATTTAGCTAGTGATTAATCCTTTTATATCATTATAGTGCGCCTCTAAATCAATAAATATCATAATCATGAGTTGCATAGGCAAATAATCACAATCACTACAATCTCATTACCAACTATGAACTTAACCACAGGGATTAGTAAACATACTCAATCAAGATTAAATCACATCAAATTAATAGAACTAAAGAACAAAAGTATCACCATATCAATTAATTGAAACCATCAAAGGAAAGAAGTATTAAGGAAATTAGCCTCTCATGGATTGAAGATAATCCATGAGAGTCATAAGAAAGATGGAGTCGACGGCTGGTGCCGTAAAAAGCAAAAGAAAATAAAAGAGTTGTGAAAAGAATTGTGTAGAGAGAGACTCCTAGGGTTTCTACTTAAGTGGGTATTTATAGGAGGCAATCTAGGGTTCCAAATAGAGTTAGGATTGACTTCAACTAACGCTAGGGTCGTGCTTACACTACTAGAAAACACCTAGATAGGGGCGTTTTTTTTTTTTTGCATATAGGGGTGTTTCAAAACGCCACAATTTGAAATCGCGGCGTTTCAAAAAACGCCCCCAGAAGCGACGTTATAACAACCGTCGAGGATTTTGGTGGCGTTTTAATGTCAAACGCCGCTATTTTCAATAGTGGTGTTTTTATGAAAAAGCACCCCTATTTAGTGGCGCTTCTGTACCATAAACGCCGCGGAATTAATTTTCAAAACAAAATTTTGATTTAAGAATAGGGGTGTTTCTTCATAGAAACGTCGCTAATTGGTGGCAATTTTTTGAACAAAACGCCACTAAATTGTGCCGTTTCAATAGAAAAACGTCCCTGTTTAATATGATTCTTTAAAAAAAATAATTATCAATTCATAGATATAATATAAAAAATTATATTTATTATTTTAATAGTATTTTACATCCACCTAAAAATGATATAATTCACTCAATTATAAAAAAAAAAAAATCTAAAGTAGTTTGGTGGCTTTGGTGGAGCTAAGATTGTTCAGCTTCTTGATCTTGTCGGGGCTGATTTTCACACTTGTTGTTTCCTACCTAACACTGTCTAGTCAAATTCCAAAGAAGGCTTGCAAGCAAGAGCACTCATAAGATGGTGGCTTTCATCTTTGTAACCATGAAATTTATAGAATCATAGACAATCTGTTACAAATCACACACAATCTTATTATAAAAATATTTAAATGAGCATTTCTCAAGAATTATAATAAAGTGTAAAATGAAGAAGCAGGATTACCATATTTTCTTGCACATCTAAAGGTAAAGAAAGATATTAAATCTAAAATAAGAAATCAAAAGCAGATCTTGAAAGTGTCTACTTAGAGCTTGAGATAAAGCAACTTAATTACAAGCATTACCTACTCCACAGGATAACCAGGTAATGACTTCAAATAGTTTGCTTCAGTTTGGTAATTAACCCTGGCTGTGAATGAAGGCTCCTGAACTCACAAGAAAGAAACACAATTAATTTTCAGGAAGTAAGAGTAGTAAATCCAGTTAGAAACAAAATAGTTATCAGCCTTTACCTTGTAAAAGGTTCATACAAGTTAAAATCCTGTCATACATCTACATGCACAAATGAATTTGTGTTTTGACTCAGCAACAAGATATATAACTCAATTAACTCAGCAAAACAATTACATATATTTTAAAAATTAACAAATTACCTTATGTATTCTTAAGTTGTGTTTTCAGGCGCATTGTGGACCCAATTGATGTGTTGGGAGGCTCATCATCATCAGATTCTTTCTACACCAAAATCAGGAAAATAATTCACATTCCATCGTTTCCCAACAAGTGTCAAAAAAAAGTTAAGAGCTTTCTCACTAAAGTGAATCTTCCATACACATAAATAATTCATAAATTCATCAACAAAAATTCATAAATTCATAAATTCCCACAAGCTACACGAAGACATAACTTGTAGAAAGACACGTTTGGATATATAGTATATTAGAGTATTATATGTTACTACAAAGAACAGAATATATGTGTTCAGTGCACTTAGTTCAATTCAATTATTTATATATATTATATATAATAAAGATGAATAAAAAAGTCAACTATATTACTTTATTAAATATCAATGTCCTTGTCATTGCACTAACAAAAGTTGAATTGATCCCCATGTGGAAAAATTAGTAATTGTTTACTTTTATTAATCCTACAAAGAAGTTTATCTTTAGAAAAATGAAGACAAATGAGAACCCACAGGGTTATTGTCTTTTTCTGGAAAATGGGCACCATTTTAATTTTTATTTAGTAAAATAATGTTTTGGGTTTGTTTAGGATCTATAAAATAATTATAGACCATGTTATACAGACTTACATTTTAAAGACATCCATTGCAAACAAAGAAGCTTCCTCCCCACCAGTTCCTAATCAAACTTTTTGTCAACTTCCTTACTAAAAAGTGGGACTAAAGGAGGGAGAAATAATGTCAAAAACAATGACAACCCACATTCATTGACTCATGTTAACACAAACGTGTTACCTGCTCTCACTTCCAAAATGCAGTCCCTCTCATCGGCATCATCCCTCGGAAGTAATGATTTGAGCAGCAAGTTCTGCAGCCTCTTCTTTTCTTCCAAAGCCTGACCCAAATACTCAGTCGCCATATCAAGCATGTCCTTGTCATCCGGGCATTCAACCATCAATGACCTCAAACCACCAATCTCCTACATAAAAAGGGAAGAGAAAAGCCTATTAATCCTCATCAGACAAAATCAAATAATCATAGCAACTAAAGAAAGCTTTAGGACAAAGAATACAAAAATCCCCATATGCATATGCATATACCTTCTGTTTGGTCCATGTCTTGAATAAAAAAAATTTATTTGTTCCCGTGGGTGTCTCTAATCTTACCTATGATGAAAGGACCATTTTCTAAATGCCTTGGTTTCTATCAAAATACATAAAAGGGCCATGTTCTAAATCTCACGTTATTCCACTAACCACCTTGAAGTCATCCTCTAAAGATCTGATCATGATGCCATCATTTTGTTAAAAAAATAATCCTATTTTCTTGGAATTTCTTCCAAATTAGGAACATAGAAAAAAAAGTTGATATTCAAAATCATAATCATGGTAAGGAAAGCATACTTTAATTGTAGCAAACCCTTGTTTATCCTGTCAATGAGTCCTGCGGGAATTGAACCATTAAGTGCTTTTCCTTCCAACTTGCTGCAAAGACAGAAGAAACACTTTTTACTCATTCAGATATGTAGTTTTCAAGTCTAAATTCCAATTTCCAAGTAATTACTTATAGAATAGACAAAGATTGCAGTTGCGTTATAAATTGAGGCACATGAATTTGAAAAAATTAGACAAAAACAAAGTAAGATCATGATAAATAAAATTTGAAAGCTCTACAATAATGAACGATTCTTACATAAGAAATATATATTGTGAGCTCAAATAGAAAAATATTAAATATTAAAATTACATAAAAATAACCTTGCTTTGCTCTCTGCAAATTCTCCCATGCGTTGATCTTTGCTTCATCCTGTAACAGGAAAAAATAACTTTGGAAAGATTAGATCAGAAAGAAGCAAAATAGAGAGAACAGAGAGCTAAGAAAGGGATAAGACAGAGGAAATTCTAATTTCATTCATATGGCAAAAAGATAAGGATTACATTGTGAAAGCATCTTTTGTATATCCCACTCCCAGCCAAGAGAAGCCAGCTGGCAACACTAAAAAAGCTGTCCTATTTTTTCCTTTTTCCCTTACATAAATAAACACCAAAAAACAACAGGAAATTAAACTACTAATATTATTTATAATAAAGCAAACCCGTGACAACACCATCTCCCATCAAAAGGATCCTTGACCTCAAGGATTAAAATCTGGATATTTGGCCTGTAACTCTGACCACACTTCCCAAGTTGCATCTTCAGGGAAACTGTTGGACCAATTAACTAAAACTTCAGTGACTGTAGCATTGTTCCTCTTTACCATCCTTCTATAGACAATGCTAATTGGTTCCTTGATCAAAGTCCCATCACCACTCAACATAGGCAACTCAGATACTGCTTTAGGTAACTCCCCTTCATGTTTTTTAAGCTGTGAAACATGGAAGGTGGAATGTATTTTGGCTGTTGAGGGTAGCTGCAACTGCTATGCCACCTTACCTACTTTCTTGGTTATCTGGTAAGGGCCAAAGTATTTGGCAGACAGTTTTAAGCAGCTCCTGTTAGCAACTGTTTGCTGCCTATATGGCTGGAGCTTGACATAGACCCATTCCCCAACCTGGAACTCCCGTTCTGTTCTCCTTCTATCAGCCATCTGTTTCATCCTATTTTGAGCTCTGGACAAATAGAATTTGCATACATTCAGGGCTGCCTCCCTTGCACTTAAGCTTCTGTCCACCGTCTCCACAAAAGATGATCCAGCTAGGTAAGGTTGATGAAGAGGGGGCTTTTGCCCATATACTACTTCATATGGTGTAGAGTTTAGAGAAGAGTGGTAGTTGGTGTTATACCACCATTCAGCAAGTGGCAACCAGAAGCTCCATTCTTTAGGCTTTTCACTGATCATACACCTCAAGTAAGATTCAAGACTCTTGTTTACTACCTCTGTTTGCCCATCAGTTTGTGGGTGATAGGCAGTAGAAGTTTCCAACTTAACATCTTGTTTTTTAAGCAATTATTTCCAGAAAGTACTAAGAAATATCTTGTCTCTATCACATACTATTGTAGCAGGCATACCATGCAGCTTAAAAATTTGATTCATAAAAGCTTGAGCTACATCTATAGCAGTATAAGGGTGCGCAAGGGGTATAAAATGGGCATATTTGCTCAAGCGATCTACCACTACAAGTATAGAATCTTTACCTCCAGACTTTGGTAGCCCTTCAATAAAGTCCATTGATATATCCTCCCATATTTTAGTTGGGATAGGTAATGGTTGTAAAAGGCCTGGAGGGGCTGCATGTTCACTCTTGTGCCTTTGACAGATAGAGCATTCTTTAACCATATTTCTTACATCTTTTCTCATGCCCTTCCAATACAGAACTGAAGAAATCCTACTAAGAGTAGCTTGGTTTCCTGCATGACCTCCAAAGGGACTACTGTGGAAATATAGTAGCAATTCCTTCTTCAATTCTTTATCATTTCCCACTACCAGTTTACCCTTTCTGTGCAATTGCCCCCTAGTCCACGTATATTTGGAATTAGAAAACACTCCCCCCCGTAGGTTCTGAATGATTTTCTGCAACCGCTCATCCTTCTCCCATGAAGCTTGGATTTTGTCCCAAAGTTCAGTTTTAGCTGAAGAAATAGCCATCAAACTTGCTGGAGGCACAGGTTTTCTTGACAAGACATCTGCCACCATATTAGATGATCCCTTCCTGTACACCACACTATAATCATAGCTCATCATCTTAGTGACCCATAGCTGCTGTGCAGGGGTGGTGGCTTGTTGATTGGAAAGGAATTTCAAGCTTTGGTGGTTAGTCTTTATAGTAAAGTGTCTCCTGAAGAGGTAGGAGTTCCATTTTTTTACTGCCATCAACACCGCCAACATTTCTTTCTCGTAAACAAAGAGAGTCAAGTGTTTTGGCCCATGTGCCTTGCTAAAGAATGCTAGAGGTCTGCCATTCTGACTCAATACAGCCCCCACTCCAACTCCTGAAGCATCGGTTTCTAGCACAAATGATTGGTTGAAATCTGGTAAAGCTAACACTAGGGCTGATTAGACTGCAATTTTAAGTTGTTCGAAAGCTTGCTGCGCCGTTTCATTCCAAGTAAATGCATCCTTCTTCAATAGCTCAGTAAGAGGCTTGGCAATCTCTCCATAAGCCTTAACAAACCTTCTATAGTAGCCTGTCAAGCCAAGGAAGCCCCTTAGTTCCTTAACACACATTTAACCTTGCTATTGTCCATGGAAAAACCCTGGTGAGATATGATGTGTCCTAGGTATTCCACTTTAGTGGTTGCAAAGACACACTAATTACTCTTCTTAAGGTAGAGTTTGTTAAGCTGCAATACTTCAAATACCTACTCCAAGTGGTCTAGATGTTGTTCCCAATTAGATGAATATATCAAAATATCGTCAAAAAAAACTAAAACAAACCTTCTGAGGTAAGGCTTGAAGAGAGCATTCATAATGCTTTGGAAGGTGGAGGGTGCATTAGTAAGCCCAAAGGGCATTACAAGGAACTCATAGTGGCCTTCATGTGTCTTGAAGGTTGTTTTGTGAACGTCTTCTGTATGCATTCTAACTTGATAGTAACCAAACCTCAAATCTAACTTGGTGAAAAATTTTGCACCGATGAGCTCATCGAGTAACTCTTCAATTAGTGGAATAGGGAATTTGTCTTTAATGGTTAACTGGTTTAGCTGACGGTAATCCACACACATCCTCCAGGACCCGTTCTTCTTCTTAACCATGACTATAGCGGATGCAAATGAGCTACTGCTGTGCCTAATAACACCAGACTCCAACATTTCCTTCACCATCTTTTCTATCTCATTCTTCTGGATATTTGGATGTCTATAAGGCCTAATTTTTACTGTTTTGGATTCATCTTTAAGTGGAATCCTATGATCTTGAGGTCTGTGGGGTGGCAAGCCCCTAGGTTCTTCAAAGATCCCAGAATACTTATCTAGTAGCTGCTGCAAATCCATAACAACCTTATCAGGGGCACTTAACTTCAGCTGTGATTGAGAACACTCGGCCAACATCAATGTGCAGGGTTGATGCCTGTTACTGACCATCATAGAATTAAGCTGCTTCAAAGTTTGCTTAGTTTGGCTTAATTGCAGATGGCCAAGGACCAAACCTTGTAGTAACTTCCATTCACCGTTATGCTGGAAATGCATAGTTAAAACAGAAAAATCCCAGACTGTGGGCCTAGAGTAATCAGCCATTGTATGCCCAAAACAACATCACAACCTTTTAGGGGTAACACCATAAAATCAGAAGTGAAGTCCATACCTTACATATGCCAAGTTAAATTCTGGCAAGATCCCCAAGTCACTACGAGGGTGCCATCAGCTATGGTGACTTCAGTTTTGGACCTAGAGTCGACTTTCAATCCCACGGCCTTGGTAGCATTCCCATCAATGAAGTTACGGGTGCTGCCTGAGTCAACCAAGATAATTAGCTTGTGATGCTTGATCCTGCAGCAAACCCTCATGGTTTGGAAGCCAGTCGTTCCATAAATTGCATGCATGGAAATTATAGGCTGCTCAGAAGAAGATGTCACTTCAGAAAACTGTTCATTAGAGTCACTAGGCTTAACCAATTCCTCCACATGATATTCAGATGGTGGGTCTTCTTTGTCTTCCCCTCCTTCTCTACTCCCCATCATATTGCCACTTTGGGTTTATACTCATCTGGAACACACTCCATTTCTAGATATTGCTCAAACTTGGAGAGCCAGGATTTAAAGTCATCTCCGTTGAACTTAGGAAAGTCCATGCGGTATCTTGGATGGTAATAGGGTTGGGTTTGTTGTGATGTATCTTGCCACCGTGGCACAGTGGCGGCAGCCAACCATGGCGTGTTGTACGGTGGAGGGTAGTTTTTATTTTGGGTGTCAGACGACTGGGGGTTGTTTGAGGCTTGCCCGATGTGTGGAGGCCAAAGGGGGTTGGTATTGGTAAGGATTTTGAGGCATTGGTGAGTTCCAGGGCGGTGGTGTATAGGCGTAAAATGGTGGTTTGGTGTTGTATTGTGGACTAGTCGTTGTTTCGGTATTTTGTTTTGAGTTGGCTGGTGTCTCAGTGGGTAACTTCTCGCGAGCCATGTCATCACGCACTGCAAATTGGTTGAAAAGGTCACGGATGTCATCCATGAGAGCTGATTTCATCCCCGCTACTTGGGTTTTCACCAAGTTCTCAATGTCTACGGCATCGCCGATTTCTGGGATAGAAGGTAAACTGCTTGAGGTCATTTTGTTGGCCAGGAACGAGGCTCTGATACCAAGATGTAACGGGAAAAAATAACTTTGGAAACATTAGATCAGAAAGAAGCAGAATAGAGAGAGCAGACAGCTAAGAAAGGGATAAGACAGAGGGAATTCTAATTTCATTCATATGGCAAAAAGATAAGGATTACATTGTGAAAGCATCTTTTGTATATCCCACTCCTAGCCAAGAGAAGCCAGCTGGCAACACTAAAAAAGCTGTCCTATTTTTTCCTTTTTCCCTTACATAAATAAACACCAAAAAACAACAGGAAATTAAACTACTAATATTATTTATAATAAAGCAAGCCCGTGACACATCCCCTTGCAACCTGAAGACCAATTTGAATCTTCTTTTAAGAAAGCTTTTTTATACGGCAGGACATGAATCATGAAAACTGCAAATAAAAAAAATATTTGCAATCCACCAGTAGAGCAAAGATAAAAATGAAAACGAAGAGAGGGGAAATGAATTACCGAACGTCCTTGCCAAAAAAGAAAATAAAAAATTGATGAATAAATAACAAAAACTCACCATCGTTGGATAAAAAGAGAGGGTAGTTAAGATTTTAGGGTTAAGAAACTCTTTAAATACCTTTATTTTACCTTCCTCAGTATGGAAATGTTTCCAGAGAGTGAATTCGAGAAAAAAAGAAGAAGATAGCTTTCAATTTTTCTAGGGTTTCAAACACAAATTTTAGGGCTTTGCGATCCTTCTTGAAAACTGAAGGATGGACTTTAAGGGAGAGGGAGAGTAGAGCTCAGTGGTAAAGTTTCGAGCTCAATGATAAATAAATGGTTTAATTCAGAAGTTCTAAATCTCTAAGACAAGCGAAGAGAAAGAAAGGGGAATGAAAAAAGAAGACATAAAAATCTCAGTTTTTTCGGAAGTGAGTGATCGAGCCAAAATAGACCCTATTTTTATGATCATTTTTCCATGCTTTTTGCTATTTTTATGTGGAATTTAACCATATTTTACTAGTATTTGTGTTTTTAGGTCTTGAAGAGAAGAAAAGTGGAAACTTGTTGTTTTTCACTCTTTTTGGAACTAAATTGATGACTTTTTGCACAAATATGGACTTTGCAATTTGGAGTAAAGATTTGGAGATTCGAAGTTCGTGTTTGAAAATTTCTTGAAGATATTTTGAAGATTTGAAGACTATTGAAGAATTATTTCAAGAAGCAAGAATTGAAGATTGAAGCTTAATTGCAAAGGATTGAAGACAAGCTCTGAAGAAGCCCGGAAGCTATGAAATTTTGGATATTTTATATGGGATAATACTCGACCCATATAAGCCCACAATTGGAGTTAAAATCTCAATTTGTGTCTCATATATCCAAGGAAATATCCAAATCTCGTAATTTCCCGCAACTAGTCCTATTTGGAGTAGGAATCAGCGCAGTCTCGGTAAAAAGGCCATAACTTTCTGCTCAGAAGTCCGTTTTAGGCCTGTGAGTAGCTGTTGGAAAGATAATTCCGAGATCTACAACTTTAATTTGAAGACCGAAGCCCAATTCGGCCATCTTCAAGTCCGAATTTGACATTGAAGTTCCTGCACCATTCCAGAAAATTCCAGGATCCTTTTTTGACTAGGATTTTGCTCTAGGAAGACTTTTAATCCAACTTGGAGACCAAGTCAGCCCCTAGAACGTCCTAGAGTCCTTTCCTAAGTCTAATAGGAGTCTTTAGGACATTTCTCCACTATAAATAGCCACCTTAGGTAACCCAATCACATACAATTCTCTTTCATCTTTTTCTGAGAAATTATTCTAGTTTTTTCTCTAGTTTTAGGCTAAGGGTGCCGCACCCTCTCTTTGCATAGAGAGGGGCGGCAACCCTAGGTTATTCAAGGGGAGGATTTCAACCTTCAAGTTTTGTAAGTTTTCTTATGCCTCTCATGGATTTGTCCATGAGTAGCTAAATCCTTGATACTTCTTATCCTTTGGTGAATCTAATCAATTGATTATGGTGAGATTTGTGTGCTTATAATTTGATATTTGTTCTAGATTGATAGTTTGCTAAATCTCTGTTTTATTTTATGATCTTGATAGATCTATAGTTAAATCAAGCTTACGAGCTAAAACCTCAAGTTTGATTATAGTAACAAATTGGAGTCAGTCTAAGAAACATCCAGTGGGATTGGTAAAGCTTATGGTTGAAAAACTATGGGTTTGGTTATACTTGTTATGCATGTGTGGAAATTGTTCTTAATGCTTTGTTCTTAAGTAATCTTTAAGCCCTAAAAAGGTAATCGATTGCCGAAGGAATAAAAGGGATAAATTAAGCTGGAAAAGAGACCTTTTATCTAATATACATGTTACGGTTTCCCTAGACCAGTTGTCATCGAGAATAAAACATTAAATTCATCTTTTAAATGAAGGATCCATAGTTAATTTGATTGATTTCTACCACTGGAGAAGAAGTATACTTTTTAATTATTGTCTGCTTTCTTAATTTGCTATAGTTTTAGATTTAATTTATTTTGCTTAGTTTTTAGTTTAATTGCTTTCTTTTTAATCAATCTGTTTAATCCCCTGTTTTCTGTTTTAAAAGTAATCTCTAGAAAAGATTTACTCTTGGGATAAAGTTTACTACCCTTCTCTGTGGGATTCGACCCCTACTTGCCCTATCTACTTTAGTTAGGTTTTGTGGGGATTATTTTATGGTCATTGACGACACGATCTTAATTTTGGCGCCGTTGCCGGGGAAGGGAAGTAAGAATAGATCCAAGAATTAATCTACTCTAAAAAAAAAAAAATTTTGCGTTTTTCTAAAAAAAAATTTGCGTTTTTCAAAAAAAAAATTAGGGTTTCCGTTATAAAAAAAACGTTTTCTGAAAAAAAAATATTTTCCTTTATTTTCTGTTTTTAATTTTAATTTTTGTTTAACAACTTTTACTACTAATTTTTTTTTCTTTTGAGTTTTTGTTTTTCTAGAAAAGATCCAATGGAGCAATCACATACGTTAAGGGAGCTAAATTTCAATTGTGAAGTGCCGTCCCTCTGTATTGATTATCCAGATTTGGATAAGTCATACAAACTGAATTCTGAAGTGCTCAGCATGTTGCCAATTTTTCCAAGGAGAATCTCATGAAAACCCTTATGAGCATCTACAAAGTTTCTTCATCAAGTGTGCTGCACATACTAGGATACCTGAAGAAGACGCCAAGCTTCGAACTTTTCCTTTAACATTAGAAGGAAAAGGCAAGAGCTGGTTCCTAAGTCTGCCACCAAAATCCATAAATTCTTGGAAGGGGATGGAGACAGCGTTTTTGAACAAGTATTTCCCTGAAACAAAGCGTGCAGATGTCAGAAAGAAAATCATTACTTGTCAACAACTACATGATGAGAAGTGGCACCAATACTGGAAGATACAACGAGATCTGTGCAAGCTGCCCTTACCACAACCTAAGTGAAGCACTTTTGATCCAGAATTTCTATGATGGATTAATGTGTGAAGATCGAATGAACATTGATTCTGCTAGTGGAGGGAGTTTTACACTCAAAACCCCCGAAGAAGCAAGGAAGCTGCTCAACACCAAGACTGAAAACATTCACCAATTCAGCACAACCAATGAAGCCGACACAACAAAGGAGTCAGAGATATCAGAAATCCGCAAGGAGTTGAAGGAGTTTGTAGATCAAACTAATCGCACCATATCCTCATTAGCAAAGATCTTTGCCGACTTCATAAATATTCAGTCACGAGCTTCTACCCAAATGCCCTCATATGCACCGCAAAAACATATGAGAGGAAACATACAAGGCCATGGAATCAATGCAATCGAAGAAACTCAACAGTGGTATGTTCAAAAGATGGAATTGCCTGATATTTCGTCCCCACTTGCGCCTATCTCACCTTCAACACCACCCTCAGCACCTGTTGTCCCTACGATGCCGCCAACTGCTGTATCTGATGCGCCAGTGCAAGGAGATGAGGAGATTTCAGCCGAAGGCAAGAAGGAACAACCAACTTCATCACCAAAAGCTTCTCGACCTCGGTTAAGATCTGGATGGCTTAAAGAGATGGAGGCCATTCAACGTCCACCACCGTTTCCTCAAAAGTTTGCGCCACAAAGGAAGACATGCAGTGAATAAAACCAATCTGATACACTTCAAAAGAGGGAGGTAAATATCCCTTTAATTGCTGCAACCCAAGAAGTTCCCAAGGAACAATGGAAGCCAGTTGATTTGGTAGAGACTATACGAAGACATCAAGAGTCAATCGTGAAGGAAGTTGAAGGAGCATCAAGTAAAACAATTAATGATTTGGAATCGTATGAACTTGATTTGCAAGATTCCTTTCAATTTTTCTTCAAAGAAGACGATGATAAGCCATGCAAAGTCCTTGTCCCTGCTCTACCAAAGGAGGTTTCCAAGATTGTGCAACAAGAACCAGAAGC